AATTTCTCCTTTGTTTTGCTTAACCTCCCGTAGCTTTGCTTAAAGTCTAACTTCCCACTGCTCCTTGTGGTCGTACCCCTAAGCTCGATCATCGTGATCTTACCGAACCCTCTTTGCATTCTTTCCTCTCGATGATGGCTTTCGCTTGTCGTAACTCCTTGCCTCCTGTCTGTCGACGCCTTAAATACCTTGCATCTCCACAACCTTATACTGATCAGCTAGCATCTCTATAGGATATGACTTGCCTTGGGCGTTTCCTCTCACTCGTGAGAGACCCAATCCACTAAGTGATCCCTATAGAAATTCGCTCCCTCTCCTCCCCAGGACGTAACTTAGTCTAGAGGAGGCCTCGTAGAGCTATTTTCCTAATCATGATTAGAGTATACTGGAGATTCTAAAAATCCTCAAAAGAAACCTTGACTGGTTTGGCCAAACCTTCAACCTGACACCCTTTTTCCTTTCCATTAAAAACCAAAAACCTTGAAAAACTCAGATCGTCACTCCAGTATTCCTTGGAGACCAAGAAACAGAGGAGTGTCGGCACTGATACCAAAATGAAACGTCCCGACCTTTTTTGAAAATCATACCACAACTCAAACCCAAAACCGGTTACTCCGGAGCAACCCAAACCACATTAAAAAAAAACTAACTTTATTTAATAATTTTAAATCAAAAAGCCCCAACACTTGGGAAAAATCTCAATCTCAACTACGTAAAACAACTTAACACTGAATCTTGAACTTTGAATATCTAGTACATATACTCATAAACATAAAATAACTATCAAACTTTAACTATACTCTTCACCCAGCTCATTGACATCTCATCATCGGTACTGGCACGAACGCTTGCCTCCTCTTACTTCTTCTCGAGATCCACTCCCACTACCCCATCCTCAACCTGGTGAGTGAGAAGGGGTCAGTCTCGTCGTTACTTCCTAAGGTCTTGCGCTAAGCAACCTCCTTACTAAAACACGTTATTAACGGATTTCCTGCCTTAGACGAAAGTCGTTCTCACTTTCATCCTTAATAACTCATTTCAACTTTAACTCATAGAGGTTCTCAACTTTATCCTTAAATCATAGAAGCTCTCTACTACTACCTTAACTTATATACTTATTACTAGGGAATCACCGCGTTACGTATCGCCGTCCGGTGTCCCTATCCTCAAGGCAATGGTACTGCGTTACGTATCGCCGTCCAGTCCATGCCCGGTCAACTACTACGTTACGTATCGCCGTCCAGTAGTGACCCGACCATCTACCGCGTCCAGTAGTGGCCCAACCGCCCGGGGGTTCAGTTACCATCATCCATACATCACAAACACATACATACATAGCACAACGCGTGCCTCCACCTTAAGTAGGCGGTGGGATGCCTCACACACAATCGCGCTTACTTGAAAACTTAATGAACATAACTTGAAATGAAACAACATAAACTAAAAGACCTCGACAGAGATTTTACCCCCTTTACACTCACCTCGCTTCATGGTCGAATAATTCGATGGATCTGAACTCTTTACTCCTCAGTCCTCAACGATGCTTGTTCATCTTCGCTTGTATACTCGGTAACCTATGTAACATTCTATAACTAATTACTACCAATTTCTATAAAAACCCAACCCCCTAACTCTTCAAGTTGTTAAGATATATACGCCCTTGACAACCCATTACCAATCGTTTCATGCATTAAGCCACTTACTCGTAATATCAAATTCTACCAACTCCCAATTCGTCCATGCATTGAAAAAGGACCACGCACAATTGTCTTATATGATCTCCCTAACCAAGTTACTAATTTTAACCCACTGCCATTTAGCTCCATGCATAAGAGTCCAAATTAGTACCCGTAGGCATGATGTGCACGTCTTCCACCTATGCCAAGCTTGGATAATTGATTCCGATAAACCCAGAACAGATTGTGCTTAAGTGATATAAGTTGTGGCTGTTAGATGCTTACCTCAACCATTGAGCAATTTCTACGCGGCTAGCCTCTCCCGCTGCCGAGTAAGAAGGTCACCGTTTTTTCTCCCAGTCGAAGAATCCATCACCGTCCCTCACACCTCAATTGGTCCTTCTCTCCATAATAACATCAGGACACGACGCTATTCTAACACCATTGATCGCCCCTCGTCGCCTAGTCTATTCAATAAGAGTCCCAATCCTTTGAATATTCCTTCCACTCCACCGACGTCCCTTTTCCAGATCATCGCCACTAGGCTGCGCCGCTCTCCCTCCCTCCCACTCAATTTCATCGTCATCATTGCCCTGCAGGAAACTTCGTCGACTGTCTTCTTCCTTGCATCGTACTGCCGTCGCTGATCAAATTTTGCCGAATCTCAACACCATCCAGCACTTGGTGCTCTCAGTGTCGGTGACTACTGTTTCTGAAGGGTAGAGTGACGAGCTAAGGGAGGGAGGAAGGATTTCTCGCGATCTCTCCCTTCATGACATCTTGATCGCTTCCTTTTCCCCTCAATGACACCTTCCCTCTTCCTTTGATACGGTGTACCCATTGAACTCACCCTAACGACTGCTCTGTGGAAGTAACGGATTCACTATAGAGGCTCTCAATCAGGAGCTTAATGGGTCACTAAATGGCTCCAATATAACAACTTAATGAGGCTCAAATCAATAATAACCCTCAACTAAACGACTGTACTAATTGGCCCTATTGAGAGTTAACTGCTTGACCGGCCAGTTGTCACCCCTTTGGGGTTTGGTTTGGTTTGACATCTCTAACCATCGAATCAAACCATGTATTAATTTCACGTAGAACCTTAACCCAAAAGTCGGGATGTTACAGTTCCACTTCATGCTGTTTACCTGATTTGCTTCTTCTCCTTTTCAACAATTCTCTCTGGGTGACCTGTTGTTATCGTGTTTTCAAATAGGCTTTAAAGATAATTGAAGCGAGCAGGGTGTCCACATTTCTTGAGCGCCTAAAGGAGGAGAATCTACCATACGGTCTGCTCACTCCTCTTCAAGAGGAAGCACTTCAGATATAGTGTTTATTTCTTCCCACTATACTTTCGCATTTTCTTGTTCGCACCTAAGCTTCCTAATCAATAATCATGCTTTAACTTTATGCAGTTCAATTTTCACTAAGTGGTGGTGACTTATATCGATGCACATAGAGCTCGTGATGCATAAATGGAAGTCAGGCTAAGGTTGACATATTCGCCAACCGTGGTCATGTATTTCTCTGTGAGGCTATCACCAATAAATTCAACTTGTTAAGTATCATGCATCTATACTTTGAATTTATTCTCCTTAATATTTTGTATGATCTATAATAATTTAACTAGGGCTGGCTATTTGGACCGGGACCGGATGAAAAACCGGAAACCGGACGTATAACCCGGACCGAGACCGGACCAGGACCGGATAGTAAACAATCCAATCCAATCTTTGGGCTTAGATTTGAGGTAAAAAACCGGATAAAGACCGGATAAGAGAGCTCAACACCCAAAACTTAAGGGTAATTTGCATAAACGGTCACAAACCTTTACACTTAGTACAAAACTTAACCAACTCCTCACCCTTTTAGGCCTTAGGCCACTCAAATTCCCATAATCTCAATATAAAATCAAGACCGAATTGGGACCGGACCTGGTCAAGACCGGACCGGATCAAGACCGGACTGTATCCAATCCAATCTTCGGTCCTTATATTCTCAAAAAAACCGGACTGGACCGGATCAATTTGGGCCAATTTAACCGGACCGGACCGTATAGCCACCCCTAAATTTAACTTCTCGATAGTTCTGGAAATCCTAGTGTGAGGGTATTTGACACGCCAAAACACAACACCAAACTGCGACCAAGTGTAATCGTAGTCCGGGAATGCAGTAACAGGCAAGTTCAATTATCAACCCGGGGTCTAGGTCTACTGCTTACTCCGTGATTATCTATTATCTAGCAAACTAATTCGATTGATTGTTGTTTAAAGCAAAAGCAGTAAGAAAGCAGTAAATGGTTCGGTTTTTCTAAAGCAGGAAAGAGTCACTCGGGATTGAGTCCCCCTAGCCCCTTAGTTAGGTTCAATTGTAATTCCCCTGGGTTGATTTACTGATGATTAGACTGCGGAAGATCCGACAGTAGCTTGGAATCTCTTAAGCTGACCAAGCCCTCTCAGTCTAACTACCCAGCATACGACTAGTCTTCACCGGGAAAGAAAGCTGAAGCAATAAGCACAGAACTCCACTACTGGAATTGAATTCCAGTACAAAG